CATCTGAGACATATTACATACCTTGCACATAACTCAGGTAACTCCCTTCTATAGGTATCCAAGGTTGAAAAAGATCGAGTGTTGCTGCTGTAGATCACTAACGTAGATGATCTGTGTCGAACGATTGGGGGCCTTCTCGAGTTAGATGGGAATAGTGTAACGAATCAGTTTACTTCTAAGTAATACTTCGCGGTTAGCACCTAACGCGGATTAACCCTTCGTCATACTATGATTGTTTTTAAGACCATATGACACAAAGGACACTATTACAGGAACATATTAGTAAGAGTAGGTACAAGGCTGACAGTGCGACCACCACCGCATAGGCCAACCCATGTCGTAAGATTTATCGATGTGTGTTGATTGTTGTTGAAACTGATCAGGATCAGTGGACTATTTAATACCTGGTGAGTCGACTGCCGAATGATTGTGCTAAGACTCAGTGACATTTCACAGGCCCCGCAGTACCCTGTGGTCAGAAGTCTTACGCAAACCTTGCACAAGTAACGTTTATGCGCATACTTGCCCAGTTGAACAGTAGAACTTTCCACTTACACTTCAGCGGTTTTATTTAGACCCATTTAGAACATGGAATGCAGTGTTTCTGCCCTCCACTCAAAAGAATAGGAATACATTGGAAATTATACAAAGGTGAGTCACGAAATTAATTCGGGGACTCAAACTCAAGCTCTAGGAAGAACGCCTTAAATCACTGAGCCTTTACTCACAAGAGTATAGGAGTTTCAGAGGTGACCGTCCAAACACTTGAAGATGGCACGAGTATTTGGAGTTTGACAACACCCTGACCAGTAACACCTATAATCGAAGTATGCCAACCCAGTCAAATCAAAAGTCAGAAACGAAGACGTTTGAAGATATATTTGGAAGACCATCGATATGTCGGGAAGGGTTTTGTCTGAGTTGGCCAACGATCACACGAGATGCGTATAATGGCGTGCTCACTCGTGATCTGGTGTGGATGCATTGTGGTGGACCAAACAAATATGAACGCGAAAAAGTGTTAACCAAGTTATAAAGAGTAAATAAGTCCACAGCATCACCTAGAGCCTTCAGCTAGGTAAGTCCTTGGAAGCAACTCCCAGTAATCGGAAACACGACATAGTAGAACATACTGTAGTAATACCTCTTACCCTCTTAGTAGTCAGATTCTAGAATTCCCTGCAGGCCGAAGTGGTCCTGACGCTCTCAGGAGTCCTTTAAAGGGAAACTTGACATATTGTTAAGGACCCAACACAATCATCACAATTCACTAATATTTTTACTTTATCGTCAAGTGTAACTAGGTTCCTACCTGAAGGCACTGGTGATCCACTGCTATTAGTTAGGAAAGCCCTATGTTGAGAATTGAACAAGAAACTTGGACTTCCAAGAATAGAGCTTTTGACAGTCACACGGCTCACTCGGGGAAAGGAATCTAAGCATCAAAATCACCCGAGGCTACTTCGTGTAACGCTTTAGAATGCTACCGACGTAGAGGATGTCTTACTAGCGGGTCATTTACTGAAATCAGACGGGAATGTAAGAATACTGCCTGACATACCGTATTCTGAGCGCAATCTCATCCGGAACATCTCCAAAGAAACTCGCGGTCAGTTTTTCCGCGGGAGGAATATAATCTTGCAAGGTATACCGGAAAATACGGACCCTACTCAATCAAAGACTGACATCAGGGAATGGAAATTCATCAAACAGTCCTTGAGGCTCAAAGACATACTGACTCAGCGTGTGACGAGACTAGCCAAGAAGGATGGTGATTCTAGACCCCGTCTGATGAAGATAACCTTCCCATCTTCCCACATGGCGGCTGCAACTCTGGAAGCATTTCGTGCCAACAGACGTCGATTTCCACCTGGAATCCACATGCACCCGGATAGGCGATACGAAGCTAGGACCAAACACAAATTCAAGTTGGAGCTAACCATTCCACTTGTGGACTGTCTAGACGATAAAAAACGTGTAACGAACAGGGCCTACCAACTCGGCAAATCTCATATAGGTGGCCTACCTGTCCATTCACGTAAGGCTCATACAAACAAACAGGAAGAAGCTCACGCGTTCCAAATTGAAAGCATAAACTGCTTATATATGAACGCTTAGAGTCAACCAAACAAACTGGATGAACTACGTGAACTTAGCAATACTAATAAGGCCCATCTGATAGGAATATCCGAAACCTGGATATCTTCTCCGTTCTCGGACCATGAGTTAGCATTACCTGGGATGTCTTTGTTCCGCAATGACAGAAAATCAGGATTTGGGGGCGGAGTAGCTGTTTACATACGTTCTTGCTTGGAGGTGCATCAAGTTCACAACCTCGAGTTTAACAATCTTGAGGAATCCATATGGTGCTCTGTAAGATTGTCTACTACTTCGAGGTGTCTAGTCGGAGTCATTTACAGGAAGCCAACTGCCGACATCGAGTACGATAGTCGTATGCTGGAAGGACAATCCCACTCTACTCGTCTCGGTTTCACTCATATCCTGATTCTAGGGGACCTTAATCTCCCTAGAGTCAACTTCGCGGAACACACGTATACTGGAGGTGACAACTCAATTGAAGCTCGGTTCTTCAACCTCGTCGATGACTTGGGATTGTACGAAAATGTGAGGTCGGCAACTCGTTGGAGAAAAAGTCAGACACCATCGCTCCTAGACTGTGTATTCACAAACGAAGAATTTCTAGTTGACAACCTCTCAATCCTTGCTCCCCTGTGAAAAAGCGATCATGCAGTCATAGCCTTCAGTTTTGTCAGCAAAACTAAGCTAAGATACCCCAACAATAACTTGCGCTGAAATTTTAAACGGTTGGATGTGCCAGCTCTACAGGACTATCTACAACAGGTGGTTTGGGATGTCCACCCCCAACTCCATGTGGACGGTCATTGCACACGCTCTTACGTGCTACAAACCATTCAGTTCCTCAAACGGTTCCCAAAAGCTGCAAGCCATTACAATAATCAAGAACCGTACCCTTCGCCTGCTAAGCCGCAAAAGGCACTGTTGGGCGGAATACAAACGGACTGACAACGACGGAGCGTACAGGCAATATAAACATATCAGGAACATATGCACTAAGGCTATAAGAGAAGACACGCTTCAGTACCAGACAAAGCTTATGGACAAATTTGCCTCTAATCCTAAAAGCTTATTCCGTTATGCAGCCTCTCTTGGTCAAACTAAAACTGGAGTTTCCCAACTGCTAGGTCTTAACGGCCCGACCAACAACGATGGCGACGCCGCTAACCTTCTGGCTGAACATTAGTCCCAGACATTTCAACCGACCGACAGTAACTTTACTGATGACAGTTTCGTTTGCAATTCTACAGGACTTTCCGCTGTGAACCTAAGCACCGACTTGGTGTTCCGGAAACTGCAGCACTTAGGATTAGACACTTCTCCTGGCCCGGATATGGTGCATTCTGCCATACTGAGGAAAGCAGCTTCAATCCTAGCAACGCCGCTTAGCGTGATGTTCTCACACTCGCTAAGTCGAGGAAAACTACCGGAAAGTTGGAGGCTGGCTCACATCACACCAATTTTCAAAGGTGGTCGACGCAGCGAACCTTCAAGTTACCGACCTGTGGCTCTTCTCTCCATACCATCAAAAATCATGGAGTCCCTGATATGCGATGGTATAAATGACTATTTACTGTCCTTAAATTTCGTCTCACCCCAACAGCATGGTTTCAGGAAGGGTTATTCTTGTATTACCAACCTGCTGGCTGCGTTGGACATATGGACAAGCATCCTTGATCACAAAGGGAAGGTTGATATAATCTACCTAGATTTCTCAAAAGTTTTTGATAGAGTCAACCATACATGTCTTATCAATAAGCTCGAAGATTAGGTGTCAGACCACCTCTCACTGATTGGTTCACTTCATTTTAGGGTCAGGGTTAACTTTACTTTACCTCAGGCTATGGAATGTCCTAGTGGGGTCCCCCAGGGCCCAGTACTAGGACCTCTTCTCCTCTTGATCTACATAAATGATTTTCCTCAACAGTTAACGTCAGACTTATTACTTTTTGCCGACGACGTGAAGCTTTGCAGAGAGATACGCAACCAAGACGATATACAGGCACTTCAGGAGGATCTGACTCGAATTCAAAGTTGGGCAGACGATGACGGACTTACCTTTGACACTTCGAAGTGTAAAGTAGTCCATCTGCAACATGTCGCAGACTACAGTGATAACCTAAGGAACTCCTCCCTAGTAGTATTCTAAGTCGAAAAAGATTTAGGAGTCCTGGTCCCCTACGATTTAAAGTCTTACACTAACTGTCACAAAAATGCCTTCCGAGCAAACCTTCCACTGGTAACATTGAAGCGCATTTTTGGCGAGTTTGACGGAAGAACTTTCCTCATAATCTTCAATAGTTTTATCCGTCCCCATTTAGAGTACGGAAACATAGTATTATCTCCCGCATTCCAAAAGGATAAGGACACCCTTGAGCGTATCCAACGGAGAGCCACGAAATCGGTTCGAGTACTCAAATTTAAACCTTATGAAGAGCGCCTCCAATCACTTAGCCTTTACCCATTAGAGTATAGACGTCTTAGAGGTGACCTTCTGATGGCTTATAGTATCCTTAACACTCCTGGACATCCTCTCAAACACCTACTTAAGCTTAGTTCCAACACTAACCAAAGAGGTAACACCCAAAAACTGGAGACACAACATAGCAGAACGAACTGTAGACACAACTTCTACTCCTTAAGAGTTGTCAAATGCTGGAATTCGCTGCCGGCCGAGCTAGTCCAAGCGACTTCCCAGGAGTCCTTTAAGAGGCAACTTGATCTATTCTTAAGGACTAAGGATAGTATCACACTATGATTTACTAATTTCTTTTCCTCTTTTATTGGTATTATACCTAGGTTCCTGCCTGGAGGATTTGGTGATCCCGTGCTACTAGACACGGAAGCCTGTTAAGCGAAAGCTTCTTCTATTCCGTCCACAACTATTTGAACCATTTGAAGCGAAAGTTTCTCCTGTTCCGCCCGTGTTGGTGCCTCAAGGTCAATTAAAGCGCACGAGCTTGTAAGATAGCGTTGTTCTTCGGGCTGAAGTGTAAGTCACTGACAAATTATGATGTACAAGCTGTTTTGTGTATAGCTTAAGGAATGTTGTGATTTACAGTGCTTACAACATTATGTGTAGGGCTAAAAATTTACCTTTCTTTGTGATCACAGGCCTCCTAGATCGTCTGCTTACGAGTGCTCTCCTCCAAAATCTTAAAAACTGGATTACTTTAACATCAATGACTTACAAAACTATATATTTTTGGGATCATTTGCCGCTACGTAAACTTAAAGAGACATTTCCAAAACAGGAATAATGTAGGATCTCTACCCCGTGTTATACATTGTAAAACTATAGTTATACATAACCTATAGGTTTGACTTTTCGTGCAACTAATTGGTCCTTATATCATGAATTTCCTTTTTATATATGACTAGCAGTAATATTCTTATCTGGACTTTGTATACTGTATTCTAAATTTAATCTCTGAGCAAGTCTCAGTAGGTCCGTTTACTTATCCACTGAAAGTCAGTTGATTTTTTCAAGCAGTATATTTCTGGCGTAATCAATATAATTGCAGGGGTCTTGTCTCATGAATTCCTTGAATGTTCTCGAAGGGATCGACCTTGTTAGACCTGTCCAGTTTCAAAAGAAATACACTGAATTTAAACACAGGTCAAACAGATGAAAACAATATTTCTTGGTATGGTGGAGAAGATTTGTAGCTCAGGTGGATGATTTCGGTGGAGAACAAAACTCCCCCCCCCAAAATATTTCTTGGTAGATCATCGTATTGTTTTTCTGTGATGCTTGATCTATCGCCTTATAATAGTCTAACTAGGTCTGCATCAGTTTTGAATTTCCACAAAGCTGTTTATTTCAAGAAGTCGTTTGCCTTCAATCCTCTCTTTGTTTTCATGATATCCAAACAAGTGTTAGATAAAGACACCAATCTGGTGGGCTCGAGTTAGGGTATTTTTTATTGAACTCTTGGCGTTTCTAAGCTGTCAAACTTAATTATTCTATTGTCTTCTCACCGATTAAGAAACAGAAGCGTTCCTCCTTCGACAACTTTTTTTAAGCTTATCACTAATATCACGGAAAGAAACTTGCGTTGCGATGTCATACAATTTTTCAAGGCATTTTTCTGTGACAGTTGATGATTAAAAGCGTGGTAATGCTCCTAATAATTAAGAATAAGACGACACGGTCTTACTTTGTTTGCTGTCATGAAGCCTGCAGTTTTGAAGATCTCTTAGATGTAGTGCCAAATAGTGTTAAGTAGCTGGGCACTTCAGTTTTCATGACGTATGAAAAAATATGGCGCATGGAAGTTTTTGAATGATTATCTATTAACCGCCTCACTATGGCCATCTGAAATGTAAATTAATAGCAAAAAAACTCAGTGAACTTAAAGGTTCCTCCTTTTTTATTGTTGATGGCACGTATCCGATGTTCTCAGTTCCTCAGGTGATAAAGAGGAATGTGGACTTGGTAATCCAATAACAAGTCTCCATGGATTATCACGCGCATTTGACTTAGACCGTTACATGAATTATTATTTGTTATTTATTTGAACAGAAACATTGGTACAAAGGAGGCACCAAATACATATGCTCCACACGATAATAATGAGGCTGTGAAGAAATAGAGAATGTAACGTGTGTATAAGAAAAAGAACAACAACGAGCATAAGTTAGTGTATGAGAATAAAATAATAATGAGAGATGCAATTTAGTTAGCAGAAATACAACCAGAAAGCATTCTTTCAGTTAAAGAAGTTACGTTTATCTCTCATAATTGGACTGGTAGCTAGACTTGAACCTAACTCGGTTTGATATTTAGTTGCGGCAGAAGCTGTAACCAACTTACTGAAATCAATCCGCTTAAGATGATGAATTTTTTAGCCACTAACATGTAAGGTAAGGTTAGCGCAAACAAGGGCATGATCAGAGTCCAGATAGGTACTTCAAAAGCACTGGCAATCTTGTACACAACCACACCAGCAGTAGCTGATCGCGGTGTGGTCAATCTGGGTCCAGGCTTGAGATGCAGAGGGAGGACGCCAGGCAGAACATCGGCGATGACTATGCCGGCAGTTAGTGCTAGCCAGAACCAGGTTGTGGTCTGCTCACAGTTGTAGTAGAAGGTCACTGTTATCTGATCTACGATCAACAGGCCCCCACTGACCACCTAAAGGACTCTCGTCTATGCCTAGACGCCCGACCTGAGCATTCAAGTCTCCGGCTAATACTACAATATCTGTTGAACGCACTTTCTGTAGAACATTTGGCTAGTAGTAAAACCCATTCTTGATCGCATCCACGTTGCAATCTGTCGGAGCATAGGCGGAGACGATGAAACGACATCGTTTCTCACACGGATTTCTCGCTTTGATGGAACTTTCTAATCTAACAACACATAGCGGATTGTTAATGGGATCCAACCGATCAGTGCTGTCTCAGCTCTAGCGCTTAGTGAGACACGCCAGCAAAACCAGACGGAGATACCACAGGGTCCCCGGATAAACGCACGTAAAACAATATTTTTAAAGCGACAGATGGAGAGCGAATTTGTAGTACTTCATTAGAGTCTTGAATACGGGTCTCGGTAGACAACAGATATCGATATTAAGACTTTCTAAAGACAGCCAGCCCTATGTGTTGTCCGATCTCCATTAGTGTGCGAACATTGAAGGAGGTCAGTTTGAGTGATATATGTGATTTCAGAAAGACTTAGTATTCGTAGTCGGTGATAGCATCCAACTTTCGACCGGTCAGTAACTCGAGATCGTTTAGATAGGACAGGGCTAGCTGCTATATAAGCATAACATTGGCACTCGAGCCTAATATTGCTGATGACATGCTCTGCGTAACAATATGTAGTTTTGCAAATCTAGAACAGACTTGAGTTGCCAATGTTACTTGTTCGGCCGAGAAACCACTACCAACAGGTATTGACGCGGAGGTTGACGACAACGTTTCAACTTATGTAGAATTTATCTAATTCGTTCATAAATATCTTTTGTCTTAAATTTAGCACACACATGTACTCCCATCAGTAAAAGTTGGATGATGTTCGCGTACTCTCGGATTAATGTCGTAAGGTCTATCCCGTTAATAAGAAGCTATGTTGGTTCGTGCTACTTAAGACTTTTTACGACTAAATCAGATGCAAATGAATCATCAGAAAACTGCGTTGGTAACTTATGCTTATTTTTAATCTAGTATTTTAGTTTCTGATTTTCCACTGCTTAGTGAAGCTGTGAATGCAAAAGACTTTGAATTAGTATCGAAAATAGTTGTGGAACAGGTAATGAAAAAAAACACATTCATTTAACATTTGTTCATGTTAAAGGATCCCTTTGAGGTTAAACGCATACGGATCCCTATAGAAAATTCAAAGTCCTCTCCTAATCTTATTCCTTCACAGTCACACAGGCGAATGGTTGGATGCATCTGTAAGTTGACCTTAGCGAATGCTTGTTAGTTTTATTAAGTTCATTTTTCTCTTTTGTATTAAATTATATGATGTAGTGTGCAATCCACAGTTCTGATTTTTCCTAACACACCTGTTACATAGGATATTAGAATATATTTTGAATGCAAGATTAACAGTTTTGCGAAGTCAGACGAGTTAGTGGCAAAAAGATGTTAGAAGACTACAGATGTCCGTAAAATTATGTATTCCAAGCATTTTTCACATATCGTAAGATCTATTGAGTGACAAAATTACAGAAGCCTTAAGGTAGTCAGACCAATAAATGATCGCGGTTCTTGGAGCTTTGAGAACTTGTCATAGCTGTGTAAAAGTTTGTTTGCTAGATGGTCGCTATGGTTAAAGGATGCAAAGAGCTTTGCTAAAGGAAACTAGCAACAACGTGTATGGACCTACTTGTTATCTTTTTGTTGGGAGTTCAAGTTGTATTGTTCGCTTACTACTTCCTGATCTTAAACTAATGTTCGTTTTTCAACATATTCATACTAAATACATCTACATCTATTTAGAACTGGGTGTAGAGTGAAGGGAAGATTTCAGCTTTTATTATATTGGTTTTCTACCAATTAGAAAATTTACTGTGACTCAAATATTGATTCGAATTTTCATATATTATGAGATATTTATCCCACAGACAAAAATTTTATTTGTCTAGAATGTTTTGCTTACTAGTTATATACTAGTCAGATATGAAGCATTCTAAATCAGATAATGTGTTTAAGATTGGTTTCTGTACGAAAGCTTATTTGACATATTTTATGACCTCAATATTAGTTTACTTGTAAGTGCATTAGTGAGTTAGTAATGATGATATCACTCCCTGTTGTTTTTGAAGATAAGAAGTGTAGAGTGAATTCAAAACACAGTCAGACACAACAATCCTACATACTATAACATGATAATTTTTGTGTGCATCATGAGAAGGCATAATTTCTGTCTGGAGAAACACTCACATAACATAACAGCTACTATCATAAATGATAACAAGGCTAGTAAAATGAAAAATGATACTACAGTTTTTGTATTAATTAATTTAGATTAATAAGCAACAGTAATCACATGAGTATTGCCTTAGTGAAAGAAGCGGTAGAATTGTATCCAAAAACAGTAATCCGCTCAAACAGTGCAGTCAACGCAGTTAACATATAACCTGACATAGATAATAAAGATAGTAGTCTAAAATTAATAAACTGGTCTCCCGCCTGTTTCTAAACATGGCAATTTCAACTGCCCTGTAAAAACGGCTATTAGTTATATTAAATCCCATCATAACTTAAACAGTACATTTCGAGTATGGTTAGACAAATAAATGTCTCCGTAAATTAATTTATAGCCAAATATTAAACACGCCTTGACGGATTAGATAAAGCTAAGGTATATTCTGAGGTTTACTGAATTATATATTTAGCACAAATTTTTTGAAACTTACGATCACTTTTTTTCCTTAGGTGAACCGGAAGCGGACTCTATCAATTGGCTAGAATTAGAAAAAGGCGATCCAGTTCAGTGTTATTGTGGCCACTGGTTTAAATTAGTCAATTATGAAGACTACTTTAATATGACTAATCAATAAAACTGTTCATAAATACGTTCTAATCTATTAGTTTAATTTGCTACCATATTCAGTATAATATTCATTGCCATCTTTGAATAATTGAAAACTGTGTCTTACTATTCAGTGTAATGATAAATGCCAAAACTGAACTGCGTAAAAATGATTCTAATTTAAGTAGTATGTACTCCAAATGTATTTATCTTTCTGTTGGTTATCCTATTGAGTAACTTGCTTACTAACTTGTCGAAAGTGGATAAGATAGCACCAAATATATACAAATACTGACCAAGAACTTTAACAGAGGAATCTGAAGCCCAAAAAGTATGGTCGGTCGTAAGAATTCTACACACTGCTGTATTTATCTTTACTAAATTTGACGTCATAATGTTTCCCTATTCAAAGATGGGTGAAATATTTCCCACAAATATTGGAATGTCAAGTTTCATGATGGATTTGTAAATATATTCCTGACCTGTTAGTACTGACATTACTCAACATTGATGTCACTGTTATAGGTCGAAATTTAACGCGGTCAAAGTATCCTGTGTGTTAATAATTTAGTACATAAATAATAATTTCGACTCACCCAATAAAAGAAGCTTGTAATTGTTTTACAGTACTTTACGAGATGACCTGGAGGAATACACTTGTATTTACTATTCACTTTTTGCAGTTGAACGAGTCAGAAGTAAACAATTACCTTTAAGGATATACATGTTATACATGAATATCAGTGCAGTGAAGGAGGCACCCAATATATATGCACCACACCAGTAATTCGATTTGTGTGAGGGCTGGAACACTGCCCGGGCGCCCAGTGGAGCTGCTCCCCGAGCTTTTGACTTAGAGCTCTAATCGACAAGGCAACTGAGCAACTTTAGAAGATGTGGTCCCATGGCATCCGGTGACCTACAATATGCCACAGTTTCCCTCAGGACCCTATGTGCATCATTGGTTCGGAACCAGGGTTCTCAAATAATGAGGCGCCAAATACATATGCGTCACACAAATCTTATTTGATTTGTGTGAGGGCTGTGATACTGCCCGGGCGCCCAAACCGAAGCAGGTGGTTTGCTTAGAGGGCCACTCCCCGGGCCTTCGACCTAAAGGTCTGATCCACAAGGCAGTGGAGCATCGTGAGGTGATGCAGTCCCATGGTAGCCGGTGACCAACGATTGGTTCATACTCCATTTGTTCCTGCAGGATACTGGAGCCCATGTGCACCATTGATTTGGTTTGGGATTCGGTTAAGGCGTCGGACATTCGCTTTCCGTCCTCTCATTTTCGTAAACAACAGTAATGCTACGAGAAGGCAGTGAGTAGGACTTCCCTGGCATAGGCTATATACGCGTGGCCATGTGAGAGCATTTCGAGAGGGAGAGCAGACTTTCCCCACTCTCGGCCGTACCAGGGCATTTGGGGGGGGGTTCTCGAACTCCCCTGGGTGGATCCTTCGTACTCACCACGGGAACTAACATCTCAAAAGAGCCCAGCGCAACCAAGTTAGAGGTGGAACTCCAAGAAATCTCAGCGAACTTTTTCTGAAAACCTTTATCAACATAATTTAAGTAAGATTAGTTATTCGCAGGGACAGTAAAACGTAGCATATGAGTTGGTCCAAGTTATCACTTTACTTCAACACTTCAAGAGTGGTGGCCGCTAGATGTGAAATCTTATTACCTACGAAGAGAAGCTGAATGTTAGAAACATAGAGTTCAGAGGAGAAATGGGGATTATGGAGGGACTTTACACTCAGGATATATGAATGAATTTACGTACAATGGATTTATCTATACATAATTCCGGACTAAAACATCCAAATTCTCCAGAAATGAAGTAGGACTACTGCGATTTCAAGAACTCTTCACCTACGGATACAGCTTAAATCGAAAACACATTTCTTAGATTATGCCCCTCAATTCTGTCCAACCTTCCATGACCAAATCAACCGTGCAGAATATTGTAAAATAGCTTGTAGTGTCGGTTATTATGTTAAGCCCATATACCTTATTCTAGCTTTCGAACAGCCCAATCTATTCATCCTACTTAAGTCATATTTTGACCTTGTTAGTTATTCGCTTACCAATCTTGACTGTTTTTATGTGAGCGCATATGTGTGTACATTTCTTATCCCATTCATTTCATATCCGTAGCTTAATTTTGTGTGACTATAATTATTGATTAACGCTCGACTAAATAGAGTCGACTTACCCGCCATCTCCACTGCGCGTCGTCTCGCTTCTCTCTATTCCATTCGATTCATATAAAAAATATATGTATTCAAAAGTCCATTTTCGTTATTTGACTTATTTAATTCCGTTACTGACTAACGCCCCACTACAAGCTCATCGGTCCAGAATCCAAGGAACCATAATAACAGGTGGTAAATATAAAATGCGGCATCACTGTGTGGGTACATAATTAGTTTTGATAGCGGAACAGTTAACCTCGCAATAGGCTCGACAGACGTCTATGTGCTGTCAGACTAGGTCCAATGGGAGTTTTCACAGATGACGATACACGCTGTTGTCTCTTCACCATGCTGACTGCAGCATGGACAAAATAGAAGAGCTCTATCAAAAGCATCCTGACCCAAACACTCGGAGATAGTAATCATGGTTGATTTTAAGGCCCGAGTAGGTGGGGAAAGTGAGAGGTATGTAGAAAAGCATTTTGGGATCCTAGCTGAGCGGATAGGTAACGGTGACCGCCTGTCACGATCGTGTATTCTTAACATGCACCGACCTTAAGCATGAGCAGAAACACTGCATAACCTGGAGATTACTGGTACCATTACGGCAGTAAATGAATGTAATTGGAGATGTTCGGTTTAAGACCAGTGGTCTCTCGACAGGAAATGTCTAGACTCTAAAAATGCCCTAGTATGAACTTGTGTCGGCCTTTGGAAAGAAGTGCAACGAGACCTTAAAGGGTAAATACTGTAGTGTCAGTTATTATGTTAAGCCTATATATCTTATTCTAGCTTTCGGACATCCCATTCTATTCATTCTACTTGAGTCGTATTTTGACCTTGTCAATTATTCGCTTATCAGTCTTGACTGTTTTTATATGAGCGTATATGTGTGTACACTTCCCATCCCATTCATCGCATGTCTGTAGCTTATTTTTGTCTACCTAGAAATATTGGTTAACGCCTGACTAAAAATGAGTTGGCTTCTCAGCCATCTCCACTCTGCATCGCTTCTCTTCCTGCTATTCCATTCACCTTGTATACAAAATATATGTATTCAAAATTCCATTCTCGTTATTTGACTTACTTAATTCCGTTATTGACTAACGTGATTAAAGTCGACGATGATATACGAGAATCGGCGATAGCAAACATCCATACGATCTAAACAGGAGTCAGATACACGGGCCACTAAAATACGTCAAGGTAAAACTAACCATATAAAAATGTTTATATTGAGGTAGCCTAGGATGATCAACAATCTGCCGTAAAAACAGCAATGAAATCCATTAGTAACCTGAATCAAGAGACAATTGCAAACAGTCCAGACCTTATGTATTCGCGATGTTACCAGCAAATATGAATAAGCACTGGCTGTTTCTGAACTTTATTCTTATCCTTAATTATTTATTCGTTCAGTGGTAAGTGGTTACTTTGGCTGAGCAATCGTACATAAATAATGACTTTAGTTTCGTAACATATTCTCGTTATCAGCTGGTCAGAGGTTCTTCTGAATTTTTTTTCTTTCAGTTTTAGAGATTGGTTTAGCAAGCAAATTATTTGTTCAACCACTCAAATATTTTATCACACTAACTGGGTCATTATAAGAAAAGCGATATCGTCGCCTGTTTTTTAATCATACGGAAATGAAAACCTTAACAGAAAATATAACCCATCCAGTGCCATAATGCTTTCAAACCATAAAGTATAGACTTGGTTCCTCTATAACTCCAACTGTAGCTTTTCTAGGGCTACTGTCGGTACCAAACCCGGGTAAAGGAGGAGAGTTGAGCGTCAGATCGGCAACCCCATCCAGCAGAAAACAACCTCGTTAAAAAGCGCTAACCCCCCCCAAAAAAATTTAAACTCTGCCCTCCGAGTCGAAGGATTTCCGTTCAGAAGTTATGATGCCTCATGGTGAAAGCCAGGATTCTTCGGAAGTCATGAGGACAATACTCTTTCTAACAACTAGAGCCACAATTAATATAGGTAAATGGAATGTCCGGATAATGTGGGAGACCGGGATGACTAATCAAATGGCTAGGAAAATGAAGAGATACAAGTTGGTGGTGCTCGGAATCAGTGAAACCAGTTAGATTCAAGCTGAACAGAGAGGGTTAAATTCAAGGGAGATACTGCTGTACTCCGGCCATGAAGAGGAAAATGATCCACAGACGCAGAGAGTTGCTCTGACACTGTCTAAAGAAGTACTTACAGCACTTGTGAGATGGGGATCTCATAAATCTAGAATCATCAAAGCATCCTTCAAGACAAGGAAAGAGGAAATAACAATGAAAGTTATGTACTCACCAGTGATAGCAATGACGACGACAAAGTCCAGTTTCACGAGAGGCTGCAATCGGTCGTAGAGAAGTGGACAGCTTGGATGCGACTAGATGATTTGGACCTAGCTCTTCTATCCCATACACTGCAACAAATGCAGGTAACGACAGCCAGTGTAGCAGTAAGCCTCAACATACACAAGGGAAAAAGCAAGATCCTCAAATATAGCACGGAGAACATCAACCTAAACACACTTGGTGATGTTCCGGAAGAGGTGGAAACTTTCATTTACCTGAGCAGCATCATAGATGAACAAGGAGGATTCGGTGCAGACGTAACGGCAAGGATTGGCAAAGCAAGGACAGCATTCCTACAGTTGGAGGGCATATGGAACTCAAGGAAACTATCCGCCAACATCAGTCAGAATCTTTAGTAGGAACGTTAGGGAAGTTCTACTGTACGGAGCTGAAATTTGGGGAACTACTATAACTATAATCAAAATAGTACAATTGTCTACGCAAGATACTGAATGTCCGTTGGCCGAATACCATCAACAACAGCTTACTGTGAGAGAGAACAAACCAGCTTTCATCTCAGGTAGAAATTAAGAAAAGACGCTGGAAGTGGATAGAACACATCGAGTAAATCACTAAACTGCATCACGAAGTAAGCCGTAACCCGGGAATCCTGAAGAGAAACGGAAAAGATGAAGACCAAAAAACACTGCGTCGGGAATTGGAAGCAGACATGAAAAGGATGAATAGCAACTGGGAAGGATTGCCAAGGACAGAGTTCAATGGAGAATGCCGGTGGACGAGGGGTAACAGGTATAAGTAGTTCCTCCATCAATAAACATTCTACATAATTTCTCATTAGCTGGGTATAGTTACGATGTAAGAGCAATTCAATACGTAAGGACTATAATCCTGACCCACTCATGCATGAGGTCTGCCTTGAGACTATCTCTGGTAAATCTTCAAGTCGTAGTGTCAACATATCTTTACTGTTATTGATGTAGTAAGCATTGTAATTTTGTAATGGTATTTTGAGAAAACTGATATTTGTTACTAAAATGGGGATATTATTTAAATAAAAATGTGATTGTATTTACAGTGGTTTATTTCTTGTAAAACCATCAGGTATTTTACGCTTGCACAAAATCCTCCAAAAGTAGTTGGTGAATTACGATAATTAACAAGATTGATAAAAACTAGAACTTGGTATTCGTATGATAGTAAACAGAAAAGTTTTGTACATTCTGTCGGTTATTAAAGCGATATCATGGTCAATTATGGTAAAACTTCTAATAACATTAATGGAACGAATATACAAGGCAGACATCTTATTCAAGAATGATGAAATATAAGGTACCACGGGAATTGTTAGAAATGAAAAGAAATATGCACAAATACTAGGTCGTAGGTCCAACCAGAAACCCTGGGCGTTTACCAGGCCATGCTTCTTTGGCGTACTTCTTCTTCTTAGGATAATTCGCTTCAACAAGACCCATATCTAGTCCAGAATCCTGATTAGCACCTGAAACACCATCCAGTTCATTCGAAGTTCCTAATATGTCACTGGCACTCAGTCTAGATACACCAGCAGTATTTTTTCCTTCTGAAAAAGCATTTCCTAAAGTCCCAGGTCTTGAATGTGCATAGGCATGAAGCATTGCTACAGTTGGTGGTAAAGTAGGCTCTTGAGGTTCGCTTTCAACATCTGGAGCAAGATTAGGCACAGGTAAACCAAGCTTAGAAGCCAAACTGTAATGAGGTCCAAATATGTTTTTCATGTGCATCAAACTTCTTCCTGAGTTATGAACAGAGTTATTCCCATCTACATTATTTTTTCCAGTTGTTCGAAAAGTTTCAGGTAGGTCTGGAGCTGCAACACCTAAGCTAGCACCTTCATGACTGCCTTTAGCACGCTTTAAATGACAGAAAAAATTTAATACAATATAGGATTTACATGTGCCTTGAAAATTTGAAAAGTATTTAAAATGAGTCCTTAAACATTGAAATATCTACTACAATCATATACAAAAAGCAATAGCATGATATTACTGCCAATATATATATATGGTTTTGCCTGCTCAATTGTAGACAGTAATACCGTATTTTGAAACTGCACAAGGCTTTCATCTATTTGTTTGGGCAAGGTAAATTAACCACCTGGTGTCTTTTAATTGAGGCTGGATTGTTAAGGAAAGTAGTTTAGGGACCTTAAACCTATGTTTTGTATTTTATAGTAATTATCATGAAAAAAATGATGGAAATAAGTATGAGACAAATATTCTACTTTGGATGTCGATTTTACTATTAGCTTCCAGTGTGGTATGGGAATATTGGAGAAATGCTTAGACATCACTTGCTAATAGTATTTCATTATTAGGATAAATTAAAACAGAATGACACGAATCATTACCTCGTACATAAATCTGATAAATTAGACCGACTAAATTCCCTACGAAAATAGAGACAACGAAGAAACTTTGACATTTAATCGTCACTGGAAATCGATAGTCATAATTACCTTATTTGGTATGAAAGTCTCCTGTATAAGATTTCGGAATCTTCCAATAGAAGGATCAACATCCTCAGGATTAATAACCTCATCTGCGTCACTGAAATGCACATTTTGCAGTGGTCTCTTACGTGCTTTGTTAGTAGGAATTGTAGGATTAGAGGCAACATCAACCATGCTACTTATACGACGGTTATGTGCTGTGTTAAACTCGGTTAAATTATCCAATTCAACCTCGGATTGAGGAAGCTGAGAGTAGAGTAAACCCAAAGAATTTGTGGCCGCATCAGACCCATCCAGATTGCGATTTTCTGGACCCATTGTACCATTGCCATCTAGTGCTTGCGAGTTCGGGTCCGAAGGATTTCCAGAAATATTGTACAAAGGATTAGGACGTTCACGGATGATATAAACACGAGTAGATGCACCAAAATGTATTTCAGAGTCGATTGGAACCTATAAATAAAAACAATTAGTTTATCGACTACGTACATTAAGAAAAGTTTTAAGATCACAGTAAGTTTTACACTTAAACTCGGAAAATGGGGGTACATTCTGATGTAGCCTGTGGTCACGTATGCTTATGAGAACCGGTTTCAGTAAGCCAATAATTTCAGACGGTGATTTTTGGAAGCTTGGCACTCAGATCAATCAACAAGCACACTGAAATCGATCCAATTTATCAACCAATTAGGAAAATTATGCACAAACATAGGGACAAAAATCAGACCAATGGGAGATACAACCAAAACAAAGAAGTAAACAATGACAGGTTTAAGGTCAACAAGAACCGATCAACATCGAGGTTTACAGGACAAGCTGTGAACCACATGTGGAGAAATTCGAACGCTTCACTTCTATCTGAATTTTGTGCTGATGATGTCGTTCAGAAGAACGATGTAAGCCCCACGACCAAACCATCCAGCTCAGAGAACAAAACTCTATCAAAATCATCCACCTTAGCTACAAATCTTCACCATTCGACCATAAACTCATTAAAAACATTTCTCACATTTGATGATAACATCGTATAAGTGGAACAGAGGCTTGATAACGATCCATGGGGATAGAAAGAACTATAATTCAATAAGCTTTTAGCCCGAAATACTGTTTTCAGTGTCTTGAAAAAGTAAAAACCCAACAGAATTTGTATTGAACGGTACTTTATATTATTCGTATTGAGTGGAAAAAAAATCACTTAGAAGTATGGGACGAAGGATAGTTATATTAGGTTAGTATTCGGTGTTTCACCAAGATTTACTGACTGTCAGCCAGTCGCAATGTAGAGAGCCTGGTACTTATGTAAATCGCTTCAAGTTGCATTACCCCACTAGCAGAGATGAAATTATCGGGCCAAATCCAAGAATAGTAGAGGTAGTAACAGTATCAATGGTGTTTGAAAGGACTGGACATCAAAGATACGATTCAAGAAAATATAAATCAACGAGATAAAAACAAAACAAGTTGTGAGGAAATCGGGATCTCAAAATTCAGAGGAAGACAAAGAATGGATGCAAACACGCTGTCGCAGATGAACGTGAGACATGTCATTTAAAATCTCTAACCATTGATTATGATAATCAAGCAGACCCCAACCAGGTAGTATATACCTATTACTATATCTCAGTCAGTAACGACATAAGACCAGGCACATATATGCATCGGTCCAAGTTGCCACACCTCATTAACACAACAAGATGAACACCAAATTCATAAAAGCAGTTACTTTAATGGTCTTAATATATAAAATATTGCATATAAGGATATGATGTAGGGAGAAAGAATTGGTTCGTAGAAATAAAGGTATAAAGCAATTTTAATCTCATGGTTTAAGGAAAGACAGAGTGTATAAACCTATGCCATTGTAGTCGATTCTCAGTCATGTCACCCAGGGTCTCCAACCATTGATTACGATAGTTGTGCGGACTCCAACCAAGTAATCTGAATCTACCAGCATGGTTCAGATTAGAAGATGTTGACTTCAAGGACTGATGCCACGTTTTGGTTTGGCCGCCCCTAACTTTCTTCCGTCCGTCTGCAACACCATTCAGTGATAGCCGGTGTCCAGGCATACATAACACGTAGCCTAATAATCTCAGTCGGTGAAGATTTACAACCTCATCGATTGATTTGCCATCACTCTTTAATACTCTGCGTCTGACCTCACTATTACTTACCTGGTGATTCGAGCGGATGCGAGAAATCTTTCTAAGACATCTGTGATCAAATACTAGTAACTTACGGGTATTCTCTACTCTTAATGACCACGTTTTGCAGCTGTTAAGTAAAACAGAACGAAATGCTGAGCAGTGCACTCGTCCGTTCATTAATTAATTAATTTATTTTATTTTAATTGAACACATATATATTGGTACAGGATTGCGCCAAATATATATGCGCCACACAAAACAATGAGAATTTAAGAAGAAGAAAAAGAAAAAAGTGGGGAACGTAAAAAAAATATTTAAAAAAAAACAGTAGCGAAGAGATTGTTGTAAGGTAGTGTAATAATAATAGTAATAGTAGGGGAACAGAAGGGTACAATCAGAAGAAATCTTTCGGTTAAGGAAGATACAACCACGTTTTATGAAGAAAGTAAGAGAAGGTTACAGCAGGATCGCCACTGGCTTCTATTCTGAGCCATATCTGATAACGTCTCTAGCCACTGTGTTGTACCATCTCTCGGACCCCAACCAGGGAGTCGTGAAGGACCAACAGAAGCCAGCCCTTTGTAGCTTTCTTTCATGCCACGACACCATGTCATACACTGACCACCTCTCCGCTTCTTCCAACCAGTCCCAGAGTCGGCAAATGATGCACGACGTGGAATTCTCTGGGACGACATTCGTAGAACATGTCCAGGCCACCGAAGTCGGTGTTTCAAGATGGTGACACCAATTGCATTATCGTCTCTGTGCCCGAGCACGCGATGCCGAACCTCTGCATTACTAACATGATGTTGCCACTGGATGTCAGCAATCAACGATGATCGAACACAGAAAGTCGTCTGACGTCAACAACTCGGAGAGACCAGGTTTCACAAACATAGAGCAAAACTGCTCTCACCGACGCGTTGTAGATCCGACCTTTTACAGCCAGACTAACATCACGAAAGTGCCAAAGATGGCCCAGATTGGCATAAGCCGTTCTAGCTTTCACTATACGTGCATTAATCTCATCACTCACATCCCCTACCAGCACTTATGCAGCTACCCAGATACACGAACTTCTCGAATACTTCTATATGGTCACCATCCAGAGTGAGTACAGGATTAGTATCCTACCAGTCTTGTAGAAGTACTTTGCATTTCGAAGGTGCAAAACACATACCATACCTACGGACACTGATTGCCAACTGATTAAGTGCGGATTGCATGCCTTGGGCATTATCGCACAGTAAGACAATATCGTCCGCATACTCAAGGTCGAGAAGTCTTTCTCCAGGCAACAGATCCACACCGCCATTACTTACATCCATCAGAGCTGTTTCCAGAATGTCATCGATGGCGAAGTTGAAGAGGAATGGTGAGATTGGGCAACCCTGCCTAACCCCACTGCTCGAATAGGACAATGGAGAAAGGTGGTTGTATGCCCTCACTCTACCTGAGGTGTTTGTATATAGGGCTTTTAGGATGTTAATAAACTTCTCAGGCACACCCTTCTTCAATAGACAATCCCAGAGAACAGTCCTGTTCAACGAATCAAAGGCAGCCATGATGTCAAGAAACACTACGATTGTTGGCCTTTGAAAAGTATGACGGTGTTCTAACATTTGGCGGAGGGTGAAGATAGACGGATATCTCGCCTTTGCCATAGGTGACGTAAGTTGGCAAAACCCAAACGAGCTCTCTGAATCTGTGCAGAGAGTTGGTTACCATATCTCAGTCCTATGGTTGATGACTTCAAGGACTGATGCCATGCTTTGGTTTGGCTGCCCCTCCCCTAGTACTCCATACAGCAGCACAAATTTGTGTGGAATGAGATACTATCGGGTGCCTAAACCGAAGTAGGTGGTCTACGTAGGAGGCCACTCTCCAAGCATTTAACATAGGAGTCAAGTCCACGAGGCAGTGAAGCGATGTTAGGAGATAAGGTCTAATGGTAATTCAGCTTAGGTACATGTGGCAATCATGCTGCATACTTTATGTTTTTCAATAACTGTAAGAGGCATCGAATGAAACGAATGTAATATGATTTTACTGATACTGTTTATGTTATCTGATAAGCTCTACACATATACCTCGTAGCACCGATCATTTTTTGTTGTATATATAATGCTTAAAGACCTAAATGACATAACCTATAACAGACAACTGAGATTTATTTTATCGCATATCTTGAGTAACGTATCATTCTTCACTAACATATTCCCTATTTATCCACTCTCTTTTGCTGATTTTAAACGTTTCATTTCTTTCTCGGTACATTTGTGAAGTATGACTGTCGCTCATTCTGGAGCACATGCTTAGATTCAGAACATGCTCTAGTACGAGCGCGTATCTGTCTGCGTCTTACTGGACGTAGGAAAGACGCTGCAAGTAAACCTCTTAGGGTCCTACTTAATGATAGTCAAGCTAAGAGTATATTTCAGGAACAACTAGGAAAACAGTTAGGCAGCCATGTGTGTGATGCCGAACCCGAGGCAGCATGGAATGACATCCGAAAAGCTGTGGAAACGGCAGTGATATTTGCTAGTAAGGTAAACCAGAAGGTTAGGGAGCAACACTGGATCTCAGCAGCATCTATCGCACTGATAGATGCTCGGAAACTCATTCCACCTGGCTCTGAACATAATGAAGAGCGGAGTCAGCTTAAGCGCAAGCTGACAAGAAGTCTACACAATCATCGCGAACAGTAGTGGGTAGCGAAAGCAAGAGAGATGGAAAAGGCAGCGGCAATAGGTAAGCAGACGACTGTTCAGACTTGTTAAGGAAACCGACTGTTGGCAAAACACTCTCAGAGAAAGATGGACATATTATTCATTCTATCACTCTCATCTGCTCCCAGTCCAGACGTTTAGAACGATGGGCGGAACATTTCAGAGAACAGTTTAACTGGCCTTCAGCTACTCTACAACTACCCTCCATTCCCAGACAGTGTGAATGGAACATTGAAGTAGGTCCCCCAACTCTTGCTGAAGTTCAAAAGGCTATATTTAATCTGAAACGAGGAAGGGCAACTGGTTCAGATGGATTGGCTCCAGAGGTCTTTAAGGATGGTGGTCCAATTTTAGCGATTAGGTTGACTAATATTTTAGCTAAGATCTGGGAGTTAGACGTTATCCCATCTAACTGGTCACAATCACTTATCGTCCCAATATATAAGAAAGGGTCAAAATCATCCTGTGACAACCACAGAGGGATTAGTTTAACTAATATAGTATCTAAAATACTAGCCTCGATAATTATCAAACGCCTAACTAAGACTCGTGAACTGCAAACACGAGAGACTCAAGC